ACGTCTGTCCTGATCCTGTTAATGTAAACCTGACAGGAAGTCCTCCAACGCTGATCTGTCAGATACGACGACTGTACCTACAGACCCCCCCCAACTCGTCTCTCACACACACACACACACACAGGTTTGCCCTGCCTGTTGAAAGCAGCTCATCCATTGAACAAGGGATTATGATGGACAATGACACACACACAAATACACACAAATACACACACACACACACACACACACACTGTACCCATCTGTCCAAACACACACTGTGTCCCTGCGTGTGTGTGTGTGTGTGTGTTGGTCATTGTCATGGTCTCAGTAAACACAGTCAGAGGATGGAGGGTGTGTCACTCACTGGTGTCAACAGTCAAATCCAGAATTAGCAGTGTCACAGTTCAGGCTCCGCCTCCTCCAAGAGGGCTCCGCCCACTATAGTCGAATCTGCCCCTCCTCCTCCTGCGATGAGACGATGCGTTCAGGTGCTCCTGTCAAGTAAAAAAAAGTTGTGTTCATTACCTGTGAACCATGAGCAGCATGTGATGGCAATACACCGTTCAACAACAGACTGTCCCAGTGCATTGTGGGATATTGAGGCCTAAAGCAGATAGATTTTTAAATGTGTTTACACTCAGGTTCGTTAAATGACTCGCTGTCATTCGTCCTAAATGTTGATTTACAACAAACAGGAAGAAATAATCTGGGGTTTAATTAAGCTGCTAATTCGTGAGTGATGATTTGATTTATTCTAAACGACGTCAGTGTGAGACACAAGTGAAATATTCCAGATGTTACACGTTGAGATGAGGCCTCACTAGGAAGTAAAACATAGCAGCCACATTTCAGGATTTTCACTCAGCTGTTGTGAGAAAATAACAGCAACCAACAAATTGATTATCTCGTTTTCATCTTTTGTCTAACCTTTGACCTTTAGGCAGCGTTGATGCTTTTAGGAAACGCTGTCTGTTGTTTCAGCTGCTGAAGAAGTCCATGCACTGCTGCTGAAACAGCAGGGCTGCAGTGTCGACTTCCAGGTGTCTGATAACACACAATCTCTCAAACGTCTGCTCAACAGATGACTCCCTGCACTGAGTGTGTGTGTGTGTGTGTGTGTGTGTGTGTGTGTGTGTGTGTGTGTGTGAAGGGATTACAGAGGATTTAATAAGATTTATCATAAATCAACATTCCTTTTAACAACATACCGACCAGTGTTTGTGTCCCATGTTGGCAGGGGCTCTTGTTTAGCTTTGTTAGCTGCTCACAGAGGATTCGTCTGATAAATCTAAGTCATAATACGCCCCAGAGGCTCATGGGAGAGTTTGGAGGCTGCTGCTGCCGATGGTGATGGTGATGATGATGATGATGATGATGATGATGATGATGATGATGACAAGCTCTGAGGCACTGCAGCGACATGATGTCACCAGACGTTGTCCATACTGGGTTTCTGGTAGACGGGGTTTGTGATTGTCCAGCTGGGTCCTCGANATGATGATGATGATGACAAGCTCTGAGGCACTGCAGCGACATGATGTCACCAGACGTTTGTCCATACTGGGTTTCTGGTAGACGGGGTGGTCTCAACTGGACGAGTCACTGTCTTCACTGGATATTTGTTGATCTAAGTTGGGCTTTTGTTGATGATTGCCTATTTGATGGGTATGTAATGGTTTATACTGAGTTTGTGATCAGGTAGACTGGGTAGACTGGGTGTGTAATGGGTTAGTGGGCTTGTGATTGCCCAGACTGGTATTTGTTGATGTGAGTTGTGTGTTCGACCGTCTAAAAGAAGCTTTTTGAAAAGCCTCTGTTTGCTTCAGTAAATCCTGCGGCGTGATTTTCTGCATCTTGTTGCCGTCTTTTTTTAATCAGATGAACTGATGAAAAGTAACAGGAAACTTTGACAATGTAGATTTCTGCGGATCCACTGTGTGTGTTTCAGTTTTATATACACACACACACACACACACACACACACACACACACACACACACACACACACAGACACACACCTACACACACACACACATACTCCTCCCTCACGGCTCTGTCCAAACACAGACACTGTGTGACAAACTGTGTGTTTGTCACACAGTGTCTGTGTGTGTGTGTGTGTGTGTGTGTATAGGTGTGTGTGTGTGTGTATAGGTGTGTGTGTATAGGAGTGTGTGTGTGTGTGTGTGTGTTGTGGGCAGACGAGGGCCAGAAATCAGGTTTTATGAGTGGTTGAGACATGAGTTTGTAAAGATGGGTGCTCAGTAAATGGAGGGGGATTACAGGGAGAGAGATGAGCTGTGAGGAGAAGACTTGCAGAGGTCGGACAGACTCCAGGAAACAGACACTTGTTGTCTCTGAGTGTAAATGAGCTGCTGGAGCTTCTTGTTTCTCGCCTGCTTGTTGAGGTTTTAACACGTCGAGCGAAGCTTGATCTACAGCCTGAAACACTGCACGCTCTATTCTGTTCCTCTCTGTTCACATGAAGGGAAACCTTAGTGCTGCAGAGTACGAGACAGCGCTCTTCCAACTTTGTGCCAACAAGACACGTCAAAAATAAAAGCACTGTCAACTGGATCTGCTTCAGAAAACAAGTAGTGATGGACAATGAAGTGATGTATTTGGGAGCTGATTCATGTGAGATCAGCTGTTCATACTCTCCTGCTCAGTAAATATGCATGCTTCCGTTTGTAAAAGCAGAGGAAGGAATAATAACAAAGTCCTCCATGTGGTCAAAAGTATGTGGACACCACCACACTGTTCACATACCTCAGAGTACCCCCTCCTGAACAGAGTCATTGATTGATTAATAACCAATTAATTAATTGTTTGTGCCATTTTTCAAAGCAGAAAGGCCAGATATTATCTGGTGTTCTCAGATGTTTGGGTTACAGACCACTGGCTGGACAAGCTGTGGTCTGGTAGTTGATTTCTGTAGCTCTTCTTTGTAAAGGTTTTATTCCAGATCTGTTGGTTTTTTGGTTTAAATTCTTTAAACCAAACATGAATGTATTATTTGTGGCGACAGTTATTTGAAGCCCTCCTCATCGTCTCAGTGTTACGAAGTGTTGAGGAGCTCGGGAGCTTTTAAACACAATAATCATTTTATCTCGGTTGTTGCGGATCAGAACAACAGCCGACACAAACAGGTTGTTGCTTTTCAGAAACAAATCTTCAGTGAGGAATTAGAGCGCAGGAATGTTTACTGTGATAACACAGCGGCCTCGAGGAGCTGCCGAGTTCACCGCCACGAAGCTGCCGCGTCTCTGTAACGGACCACATCCTGCTCGAGCTGCAGCACAGCGGCGGTTAATGGCGATGTTTGAGTTCGACACGACTGTGAAGTGAGCGTGTGACTGTAAATCACACGGACGCAACAGCTCGTCTGTCATTACGGCCGTAATAAGCGGCTCTGCGTGGACGCGCTGAGCCCGCTCCTCTGAGGCGACACTCGGCTCTCACAGCTGCTGCTCCGTGCTGCTAACATGCTATTAGCATTTCCTCCGCCGCCGCCTCGACTCCATCACCACAGCAGAGAACATCCATTCGCCCGTTCCTTCCTCCCATCATTCACTGTGTGTGTGTGTGGGGTTCACACACTGCAGTGTAGATGATGTACGGACGTATCTGCATCAGTGTGGTCAGCTGTTTTTATCCTGGTTAGGTTTGACGACTTCACACACAATATATATAACAATCACATAATAATGTTTCTTTTGTTGGTCCGTCCCTCAGCTCCTCCCCCCTCTGTCTGTGGCTCTCAGCTCATTGGTTCCTACTGAGGATCTTTAACACATCACACATGAACATCAGGCTCCGTCGTTTCCTAAAACAGCTGATTAATATTATCAGAGTCCGACTGACAGACTGGTCCGATACACTGCTGCAGAGTGTCAAACAAAAGACTCTCTTCTTCTTCTTCCTCTTCTCACCACAAACACTATTCTAAGAAACAATGAATGAACAGGGCTTTTATTTTTTAATCTCTCTGAAGTGGTGATGATGTAAGTGAGATAATCGCCTCCGAATTGTCGCTTAAACGGCGTTAATGGACTCGCTAAAGTGCCGACCGCCTCCACACACACACACACACACACACACACACACACACACACACACACACACACACACACACACACACACACACACACACACACACACAGTTTAACAGAGCATCACTGCTGCTGACATTCATAATCTCTCAGATCGTGACTTTGATTTTTTTTGTATGGACGCCCACGAGCGAGAGACATTATTACAGTGAGGGAGGGAGAGAGAGAGAGAAAGAGAGAGAGAGAGAGGAAGAGAGAGGAAAAGGTGATGCACAGGTGTTATGTAACGGTGGTGGATGGTAACTGGTCATTAGCTCGCTGCCTGGCCTCTAGGGTTCTAGGAAATGTAAAATACAGGTCTGGACGTGTGTGTGTGTGTGTGTGTGTGTGTGTGTGTGTGTGTGTGTGTGTGTGTGTGTGTGTGTGTGTGTGTGTGTGTGCAGTAAGAACACGGTTTTAAACTTTTTAAACATTTTCAGAAAAAAACAAGGAGCTATTTTTAAGAGTTTATATTTATATTGACAAATAATCAATAACTGAATGAAAACAATCGGCCAAAAAGTCTCCGAACCTTCAGACTAGCTGCAGCTGCCTGAAGGCAGCTACCCTCCACAATAAAAGCCTCCTTTGGAGACAGTCACAGCCTCTAAACTTTCCCATAATTCTCTGTGAAGCATTTGTTCGTGTTTCAAGCTGCGAGACACCAAAGACGAGAGAGACTGTGTGTGTGTGTGTGTGTGTGTGTGTGTGTGTGTGTGTGTGTGTGTGTGTGGACTACAGATTACATGTTTGTAGTCCAATTAGTTTCACCAGTTAACTCAAGCATCAGTGACGTTGCCATGGTTACCTGCAGTTGACTGTATGAGCTCAGAGGTGAAACTGTTGATGTAAATTGTCAGCCAATCTGAGAGCAGAGTTTTCTGTCATATGATAACTGTTCTAACCCCGTCTCCGTCTCCGTCTCAGGTGACTCTCAGGGCGTGGTGAACTTCGTCCTCTCTAAAGAAGGTGGCGACCTCTCTCTGGTGGAGCAGGCGAACGTCTGGCTCTTCCTCCGTCTGGCGAAGACAAACCGCAGCCGAGCCAAAGTCACCATCCGTCTCTTCCAGCAGCGCCGGCTCCCGAGCGGACGCCAGTCTCTGCCGCAGGACGAGATCCTCCTGGCGGAGAAAACGGTGGACACCCGTCGCAGCGGCTGGCACACCTTCTCAGTGTCGGCGGCGGTGCAGGCACTGCTGGAGAGCGCCGACGGCACGACGCTGAGCCTCAGGGTGTCCTGCCCGCTCTGTGCTGACGCCGGCGCGACGCTCGTCCTGGTCTCTGGCGGCTCAGAGATGTCGCAGCGTGCCAACCAGCGGGAACAATCCCACCGGCCCTTCCTCATGGCCGTGGTGCGGCAGGGGGACGGCAGCGACTCGCGGCGGCGCAGGAAGCGAGGGCTGGAGTGCGACGGGAAAGTGCGTGTTTGCTGCAAACGGCAGTTCTACGTAAACTTCAAAGACATCGGCTGGAACGACTGGATAATCGCACCGCCCGGTTACCACGCCAACTACTGCGAGGGCGAGTGCCCCTCCCACGTGGCGAGCATCACCGGGTCCACGTTGTCCTTCCACTCCACCGTCATCAGCCACTACCGCATGAGGGGCTACAGCCCCTTCCAGAACCTGAGGTCGTGCTGCGTGCCCACCCGGCTACGAGCCATGTCCATGCTCTACTACAACGAGGAGCAGAAGATCATCAAGAAGGACATCCAGGACATGATCGTGGAGGAGTGCGGCTGCTCGTAAACACTAACCTGAACTGGACTGGAGAGGGCCGGAGAGGAGAAGGACCTCTGAACCCAGAGAGAGAGAGGGAGAGAGGGAGGGAGAGCGAGGGAGAGCGAGGGAGGAGATGGAGGGAAAAGAGAAAGAGGAAGGGATGAGTTTATGATCATCATATCTACTGCGTTTCAGTCTTCACCTCCTCCCTCCCTCCCTCTCTCCCTCCTCCCTCCTCCGTCGCTCTCTGGGATAGAAACTCTTCTCCGGGCTCGTTCAGCAGAACTCAGAGAGAGTCTCGACGGCACTTTCAGAAAAAAAAGAAAAGAAAAAAGATAGAAAAAAAGAATATCTAATATATTTTTGTTACAAACGGAGGGAGCGAGGCTTATTTATGTGGCTGAGACGTTCAAGCACCACTCCAGCAGTCCGACCTTGGAGAGACGAGGTGCCTGAAAAACTACGAACAAAAAAAAAAAAAAATCTCAAAACTATGCAACTTGTTTCACGTATTACGATCTTATTGTATTTTACTTTTGTTTGTTTACTTTTTCAAAATGTACAAGGAAGAAAGAAGAAGACTCTTTTGTATTGTTTTTTTCTGAAGTATAAACTTGTGTGCGTGGTTGTGCGTTTGTTGTCGTCCACTCGAGTGTGAAAATGTGCGCATGTTTGTGTGTTGAGAGATACTTGAAAGAAACAAGTTGGCCCGGCTGCTGGAACCAAACACTTCTTTATGTTACCATGGTTACCATGTTGATGTTATAATTATTATTGTCAGTAAGTATATTAATAATATTATTGTTATTGTTATTAATAATATTTTTGTTTGGCTGCATTTGTGTTGTTTTGTCCGTTTGTTTGTTTGTTTTTTTAAAGAAGCGTTACAAACGTTTTCATGTTTTGCACTATAGCGACACTCGTGTTCGGATCAGTCACAGACTGAACAGACCCGAGCTTCCTGTTCCAGGTGGACTCCAGTGAACAGGTGTGACAGGTCACAGGTTTGATTCCCTGTCGGTGCGTTGATACGTCGCTCTGGGCTCACAGGTCACCATACGTGTCGCCTGAATGTTTCTGACTGTCTCCAAGCCTGAGCTGTGGGTCGCCGCCAGGAAACCCTAATGTGGGCAAACGTAGTCAGACACCCTTGCTGAGTGTGATCGGCTGACTCACCTGTCAGTCAAATTAATCACCTTAAATGAGGCTGCAGCCAGGATTTTCTAAATACAGAGACAGTTAAAAGAAGCTCTCTAAAATTACCCAACTTCATTATTTGGGTTTTTCATGTGTTTTAACTTGTAATGTCCATTTTGTCCAACGCTGTCACAACACTCTCCAAACTGCCATAAATAAAAAGTAGATTCTAGCATGAGTGCATCCCTTTCTATTTATTTTTGCTCAAAGTAATTATATAAATGAAAATATTAAATATGTCAAGTTTGAAAATACTGTAAAATATCCATGTGCAAGTTCTTAGTGGTAAAATGTAAACTCCCTCTGTGCTGCAGCGCCCCCCAACACCTGTCAGAGGAACTGCAGCTGAACACTTCAGCTGTGGAGGCTTCTGATTGTTTAAATCAACAGCTAACATGTTGGCAAAAGGTAGCGACGCTAGTCGGTCAGCTAGCACCGAACGCTAGCAGAAACATGTTGTAGCCGAACGTCTGTGTCCAGCTGAACGAGCTTGTAGAACATGTTGTTGATACCAGTGTTAATCTGTTGAGCGAGACCCAGAGCGCTAATTAACCTAAAGTAATTGCACCACTGGAGCTCACCACGACACATCAGGAACTTCCTGTCTGTCCAGTCAGATGCTACGAGGACTTACTTAAAGTGAGAACAAAAGCACTTAGAAGAAGAAACATGTAGATTTGACTCAAAAATCGACAAAAGAACAAAAGATCTCACAACTCCCATGAGCTGTTCATGGGCGGCCATGTCCTTTATGCTAGCCTAAATATTCTAGCCAACAGCTGGGCTACAGCTGGGCTACAGCTGGGCTACAGCTGGGCTACAGCTAGGCTACAGCTAGCTCCTCCAATCTCCAAAAACCAGAACAAGACAGACTTAAAGCACCAGAACAAACCCCTTAAATCAATGTTTATATCTTTGTCTCTGATGGATGTTTACACTGAGTCAGCTGCCTGGCTGAAGGTGATTAGCATTAGCCAAGACAACACAAGCTATTCATTATTATACTTTCAAGGGATTTATTTCATTGTTGCTGAGACGACACTTTAATACAAAACTTTCCCTTAGTTATGCCTTTAAAAATTATACTAATAAACTGATGCCAGACACCCTTAAAAGCATTTAAGGTGGTAATTATTGGAGGGTTAGAATGAATTACAAACAGTTACCTTCATCTCAATATAACCCTCATTTTGAAGATTTAGGTTTATAAACAAGCACCAAGTAGCAGCTGAAGGTAATCAGATGTAGGGCGGCAACTAATGATTGTTTTCATTATTGATTAACCAGCAGATTATCATCTTGATTGATCTGTTTGTCTGTAAAATGTTTGCAAACAGTGAAAGACGCCTCTTGTTGTTCTGTATTTACTTGTTTTATTCACCAAACTGTCCAAAATGTTCAGTTTACAATCAGATATGATGAAAAACAAAAGTAGTACATTATCACATCTGAGAGGCTTCAAACTGCTAATTGGGTTGGAATTAAATGATTAATGGTAATCAAAATAAATGACGATTCATCAACTAACTGACAAGTCGTTGTACCTCTAAATCAGCTGTGATGCACTTTGGGTAAATTTAAAGGTCTTCTTTTTTTACAAGAATGAGCCATGAATAACATTTTCATCAACCCATGAATAAATCCCTTGAAAAGCCTTTGAATGAATGAAGGAATCAATGTGGACGTTTCATAAAAAAGTGAGAACTACTTTTGTTTTGTTGTGACGAGCAGCTGACAGTTTTCTACCAGAGACAAAGAGATTAAAAGATGTTTCAGATCGGTGTGTTCACTCTCAGAAGAAGAGATGAAGGTTTTTTTGTCCAGTTTTAGTTTGCTTTAGAACACCAAAGAGTCGAGTTTGTACATTTGTTTGTGTGAGAAACAAAAAGGTTGAAGTTCAAGAGAAGAAAAAAAAACAACCTAATTTACAACATGATTAACGTCCATTTTGTGGAAAAAGTTCACTGAAGTTCACGATTCTCTGAAGTCTGTAAAAAAAAAAAAAAGAAAAAGAAAAAAAGTGGCGTCTTGCTTTGGTGAAGATGACTGATGTTTTTATTTATGCTTTGTAGGTTTTGTTTCATATTAGTTTTTGGAAAAGAGTTCTTCAAGTTCTTCTTTGAGTTGTGACGTTTTGTTTCTGACATTTTCACCCTGCACACTAAGAACTCCATTTCCCACGATGCTTTACTCTTTCTTTTTATCTCATCACAAACTTAAAAAAAAGACAATCCACTGTCGTCTTGTTCTGTTTTGGGAAGAAAACAAACGTCATCCAATCAGATTTCGGAGTGTTTTTGTGTCGTATGTGTTTATATCAGTGTTGTCGACTCGTTCACCAAAAGTTTCAGAGTATTGGTCCCTTTTTGATGAAGTCACACGTGTTGCGTCTTATTTTTATTTTCTTCTTTTTGTCGTTATTGTTTTCAAAGAGAGTGGACCCTTTTCTTCTGGACTTTCCGGGACAGACTCGTCGTCCGTCCGGTGCGTTCAAGGACACAAACAAAATGTCAGTGCAGAAAAAAAAAAGCCTCAAAAAGAAGCAAAAAGTAAAAAAAGAAAAAAAGAAAAAAGGAATAAAAGAAGTGTTTGTATTTGTTCAGATTTTGTTCTTTTTATCAAGACGAAAAAATATTGACACTGAACAAAGTAGACAAAGAATAAAAAGTCTATTTTTTATTCTGTATATATGGAAATCCAGATTCCAGTATGTTGCATTGCTTTGTTGTACAAATCAAATGTGCTTGTGGCATTTTTCTAATCTAATTTATTTTACGGTATTTTTTTTTTTTTGTTTTCTGCTTCACCATTAAAGTTTAAAGGATGTACACAAAGGAGACGTGTCTCTGTTTCTTTAAATCTCACTTCTGTCCCAATCTAAACCACAACACCTCATTTCAGACATTAAACTGACACTTATTTTCACTGTTAATTACGTCTATAAAAAGTCTGAAAGTTCATTGGTCTGATTTAACAGTTTCTTACTCAATCATCAAAATAGCTGCAGATTAATTGTTAAAGCTCTAGTTAAAGGTTTAAGTTACACTGAGGAAGACGTGGCTCTGAAACTCTGTTTTCTGTTTCTTATAAAAAGTCAGTCACATGCTACAATTTGTCATCACCTTCCATCAGGCTGTGAAGCTCCACGCCGGCCTTTGGCTCCGGGTCATGCTGACTTTTATAAAGATATAAACCCAGCCTTGTTAAACACACATTAAAAAAGTGACTGCAAAAAGTGACGTTGAGCTTTTTCATCTTCAGAGGACGAACGCTCGGGGTCGAGGCCCCTGCCGCGACGATGAGACGCAGCAGGAATTCATTTCCTCACCCCAAGGAAAAAAATGCAGGCTCCATTAAAGCTGTGATGCACAAGGCGAAGGGTGAAAAGGTCGCCTGCAGCCCAGCGGTTTCCCTTCTCCGCACTGTTAAACTTTAAAGCTGCCAAAAGGCGACACGCCTGAGTGTTTGGTCTGAACTACCGAACTGAAAACAAGAAGCTGAACTCTGCAGGAGAAACGTCCAGAATATAATTAATCAGGTTTAAATGACTCAGATTTAGATCTTACACTTTCTTTACATTGGTGGGAGCCGGACACCTGCAGCAGTTAAAGATCCCCTGAGAACAAAGAAAGTCTTTTCCAGTGCTGTAGCTGTGGGTCTGAGATAAGATACAACTAGAACCACCTCCTCGTGGTCGTATCCCTCCGCCACTCACACTAGTTCCAGGTCACATCCCTGTTTATCCACAGTCACAGAAAATATTAAACATTTGTGTGAAGTCTTGATGTCTAAAAAGTGTTTTTTTTTAATTATTTTTTTGGTCCTTTTATGCCTTTATTGACAGTGCAGTAGAGAGAGACAGGAAATGGGGAGGCAGAGAGGGGGAATGACATGCAGCAAAGGGCCGTCCGAC